CAGCAGATTACTACCTGGGTGGCTGGGAGAGGGCAAAGGAGAGTGTATAGTGCTCCCCAAGCAACAAGACTGATGCAACCACCAGTATATATATACTGTATATACCTCAGAAGTCATCCTTCCCTTACCCACACCAACTCTGCTCTTGGGCAAACCAATTTCCAATACACCAAAAGCGTAAAATGGTTACCAGAAGTTGTTGCCGCTTTCAGTAGCACTTGGCATCTCCAGTTGAACTTTATCTCAATAATGGCTGCTCAGCCAGTGAATTCAGCTCAGCTGGTGGGTAGCAGCTCTTAGACACCAGATTCACTACTTTTCATTCTCTAGCTGACATAGTTGAGCATAGAAAAAGCTGGGTTAGTTGCGAGCCTATAGCCAGAACTCTCCTAAATCTTCTATTTCTTACATAACAATCTTTTCTTTTGTAAGAGAGAAAAAAGCTTCAAATGCAAAATTAATTTTTTTCTTTTTTTTTTCCAGCCAGCTTTTACTCAGTTTACATAAAGTAATTCATATGCATTTACCTCCCCATTGAGGTTTTTTTCCAGAACTTTGATTGCAATGAAAATCTATGAAACATCTCTCCAGCCTTTATCAGGCTTTCAATCTATTAGCCAAGATGAAGAGCAAGAATAAGACCAAAAAGCATATGCAGGTGGTTTGTTCCCCACACCCTCTCTCTTCCAACTTCAGTGGTTGAGTTTTCAGATAAGTCTAGTGATATATCTTCCAGCTGTTTTAAAGCTTCTGTACCATTTTTATTTTATTTAGATGACAGAATCAGACATTGGAATTTTTCACCATAGGTCTCACGCACAGAAAATATATGAAGATTAAAAACATAGGTACAAAAGGGGTGCAATGAGAAACATAGTCATGCCTGCCATCCTAATACATTCTTCTAATCCCCATATTTTATTACCTTCAGAGACAAATATTCAAAGTGCTTTTGTTCCTGCAGGATGTAGAATGCGTATTAGTCTTTTTTTTTTCTTAAGAATCTTGAAAGTTGTTCTCTTTTGATAGTAAATGAAGTTGTCTACAAGTTTATGAATCTTTTGCTTTGATTGGATTTTAGAGGTTTCTTTGAGTTGTTTAATGTATTGCAATTAGGAGGTTTTTAATAGAGAGAGTAATTTTTTTGCTATAAATCTGACATATTCCAGATTAAATTGTTTTCTAAAGATTCTGTATACATTTATCTGTACTTACATACATTTGGAATCTGGTATAAAGATCTAACCCAGCAGTTTTGCAAAAAGCTATATTAACTTCAGGTAGAGAGTGCCAGAGGTGATTTTGTGTGGAACAACCCAAATAAATGACAGTAAAATCTTTATCTTGTAGTGTAGCATTATGTATTTTGTTCTGAACTTATTTATAGGAACTATCTCAGATTTTGGCAAAATTTCTGGGTTTTTTAAATCGTGTTGTTTTTCATATGCCTCCAGTCTCCCACATGCAGTCATTTTTCCTTCCTTCTTGAGCCCAACTGTTCTGTGAAACTCCTGCCTTCTTACTCAGGAGATTGGCTTCCCGGTGGGGGCAGCTACACTCTTTCCTAACTGGAACTTCAGAACCAGAATCTTTCTAATTCATAAGTAATACTATCTCTTATGCATTAACAAGACAGGAACTTCAGCAGTGTAAGGTGAAGTGAATGAGATCTGAATCTGTCCTAGTAGAAGCAATTTTGATATATTATTATTGCTTTAATTCCGAGAAGTAAATTTTCCTTCCAACTAAGTTTTCCTATAGACTTAAGAAACTACAATATCACAAAGCCTTTTATGTTTTTATTATATAATAAAAGCATAATAACCCCAGTAGAGATTGCTGTCCCATATTTCCTGTTACAAGACCCAGTTCTGTATATAAGCATATCAAAGTTAAATCTTTGGACTCACATTCTCTAGGTGTCTAGTAGAATAATTTCTTTTTGGTGAATGTTTCAGCTAACATAGCTCAGCTATTTTTAAGACTGAAATAATGTGAAAAGACATTCTTGCATTAATATTCATTTTAATTACATTTACCATGTCATCTCTGTAAAGTTAATTGAGGTTAAATTTGGCCCAGCTTATAAAAAATGTGTGCATGGCAGCTAAGAGCAAGGAGAGAATTTCTCCTCTTGTCTCTGATCTGCTGCAGAAGGAAGTGAGGTTTTCCTCACTCTCAACATCATAGGAACCTATGGAAGGAGACTGGAGGAGCGCAAGAAGAGGAATCAGGTAAAAAAAGAATCAGGGACTGGGATTAAGGGGAGAATGGGAGCAAACACCAGGGAGACAGGAATAAGGGGGACTATTTCTCTTCAGAGGCATGTCTGCAAAGCAAACAGCAGCTTTCTACTACTATCTGTTTACTCCGCTACGTTAAGCAATAGTGAGTATATACCGAGTATCTAAAGTTTCCTGGTTTGGTCTTGTGGAAAGATGAAGAGCTGGTTTAGCTCCATGGCAGGAGACAATGATGAAGTCTGTTTTACAGGAGGGATGAGTGTCTGCTACTGTTGACACTGATGTTAACACACAGGAAAAGCTCCAAAACCTGAGCACACTGAAAGACCAGGTTGTTGCCTCCTCAGACAGGGGAGAAGGAGGCAACAAGAATTCCAGGCTTTCCTGAGCTTTAAATGTTTGATTTTGTAACCTTAACATACTTTCAAAAATATATAATACCAACTGCAAAGAAACAAAATATATGAACTAATATATAAGGAAAAAACAATAGGAAAGAATTAATAAAATAATGCTGTCTCTGCTATGCAGCAACTTTGTGTAAATAGACAGGATTTTTCCTGTGCCTAAGTGTTAATGAATTGGGTTTTAAACATTGCAATATTTGAAGCTGGATGCCAAGGTTACTGACACCAGTAAACAGTGTGTAGTAGCTCAGTGATGAGTCTACCGTCATTGTGTGTAAACATCATGCAGTGATGAAAGGTGAAATCTGAAAAACAGTGAAATGAAGTGAAAGCAATAGCTCTAAACAATATAGCTGCATTTAATAAAATGAACGAAAATGTATAGTCTTTGTTTTGGACTGGAGCCTCAGTTGGCTCAGTTTGCTTGTATCAATTTATGGTAGCTATTTCCAGCAGCTGAAGAATCCAGCCCAAAATGCAGGGTTTTTTTCCACGGTTCTTCCTCTAGGTTTACAGCCTCATTTAGGTTATTAAAGGAGAAAGGAAGAAAGGGGAAATTATATTTTGTATGTGTTTACCAGGGAGATGAAGGGGGTACTAACCCCCCCTCATCACTATCACTGTTTGCACAGCCTGTGCTGCATGCACTCTTACACCATGTGATTTACTTAAACCGGCATGATTGCACAGCTTCTCCCTTTAGAGCAGGTCTTTGCCTGCCCCTGTTCTGAATGCTGCACACAAATTCTTTCAGGGTATGATTTGCAGACTTGTAGTCTTAAATCATACCACTTACTGTGAAATATAATTTTAAATGTAATAGCTTTGCAAAGTTTCCATGATTGCCTTAAAAAAGACCTCCCCTAGATTTTGCAGGATACTCTGCAGAATAGCGCTTGAGAGTCCTCAAGAGTACGTCTGTAAACTAATCAGTCCATCTGAAAAGAAGATTTAGCAGCTGAACAGGGTGAAGTATTGCATATGCCAGTGTGCTTTTGAAAGAAAGCTATGTTGCTGTGGGACAGGAGATTTGATATTCAGAAAGAATTCGTATTCATTATTAAGACCTGATTCAGCAAAGTATTTAAGTATGTTCTGTTATGGACCTATTAGCTTTTCATTTTGCTGCTGCTTAAGAGCTCTACTGAGTCAGAAGCAGCAAGCCAAATGGAAAGGTGGAGATGAAGTTTTTCATGGATTTGCTCATGTAAAGCCTATTTCATGATGATGTTAAATTAGTACAAATAATAAGAATTCTTGCTTCTAGCAAATTAGTGTTATGAGACTCCAACAGGGGTAAGAGTTCAGACAGGTCATTGGATTTTTGCAGGATTTTTTCACAACTGTAATAGAAGCTTTTTAAAAATAAAAAAAAAAAAAAGAGTTTTTGTCTGAAATGAGGTAGTCTAAAAAAGCAATACAAGATTGCCAGCCTACTTTGAACCATCATGATTTGATCCCTGGCTGCAATTCCCTTTCTGAGCTACTGTTGTGCCTCCTGTGATTCCCAGTAGTCGCTGTCAGCTAATCAAGTACCTTAACCTTCAAATGCTGAACTTACTATCTACCTAGATGGTGTCAGACTCCTTAAACTTAGGAGTTGTATTATCCTGTTTGTGGAGCTATAGGTCCTCTCCTAGTGGTAGCAACTCCTAAGAATAGAAGCTTGAATTGTGGAGTCTTATTTTATGGACTTCTGTGGGCACTTATTTTGTGCATTGTTTGAACAGATGGTCTTTTTCAGCTGCTTGCATGTTAGGAGTTATTTGACCTGCCCGCAATCAGGGAGATAAGAGCAATGATGGGTAAAGTTAGGACCGCACTGGTACAGTTAAATTTAGGGGGGTGAGGACTGTATGGGGTTTGTTGATACCACTCCCCCTCTTTGGTATCTTCACCATTTTACTAGCAAGGAACTAAATAATTTTATCCTCATCCACTCTGCTCATTTTATTCTGTGCTAAGTCTGGAGAAAATGAACATCATATATAGCTGGGTGAGGTAGGAGGGGAATGAAAAAAATGAAGTTTCTGAATATTTCTCTAGTCATGTCCTTGGTTTCAATCAAATGAAAGAAGGTTCACATCTGGTATTTGGCTTGAGTGAGAGCTACAATTTCTCCACTGGCAGTGCTGCTAGCAGTATAGTAATTGTCTGTGAGTTCAAGCGCCTTCCACCATATTTTGTCATCATGAAAATGAATGCAATCATTAGTAATTTATAATTCTTGTCAGATACTATAAGTTAAGCAAAATGTTCTCTTTTAAACGGAACAGAAGGGCTTGTTTCAGGCTATTGAAGGCATCTCCTATTTTTTCATTTTTATTCTACCTTTTTTTTCCATTTTTAGGGAAGCAATGTAATGGAGGACCAGGATCTCTTGGAAATAGGAATACTTAACTCTGGACACAGACAGAGAATACTCCAAGCAATCCAGCTTCTCCCAAAGGTATAGTTTCTGTTATTATCCAAGCGAGGGAACTAACACCTACAGCTTTCACATTATTTAAAACACTTTTTTGAATGGAGATAAATATAACTCTCTACTGGTTTTGTAGATATGTTTTTCTGCATGTGCAAATGTGGCATAATGTAATGTCATTGCATTGGACTCACTTTGTATAGATGTAATTGACAAACAAAGCAAAGGAGAGTAAAATCTGTAATTTGAAGTGGCAACTGTTTAGAATTTATTTTCATGATTTTTGGCTTTTCAATCTGTTTATAGATTGAGATTACATATGTGTAAATAAGGCTGTCAATGAATTTCAGATGTTTGTCTTTACATAGCAGTTGTCCTGGAAATACTTTGCCCCTATAAGTATTCTTAAAAGCCTTGGATGAAACATTGTTTTCCTAATACCTGCCTTTCATGTAAGATGCAGAGACTTCCTGCAGGCTTCATATTTGATTTGCTGCTGTGTACATGAATTTTGCTTCTCAGCTGTGGACAGAATAACTTGCAGTCATTTTCCCAATCATTTTTGGTGCTAGCTGATTTAAGCTATAGATTTTAAAATCAGTGATAGAAAGGGATTATTCTTATATTTTGTGTACCAGAATATATCAGTGGAGGCTTCTGCTAGCATTCCAAACAAGAGAGAGAGTGGGCCTAGCATGAAAACTTACTATTTGATTTTGGAAAGCTGTATAAGGAGAAGGAATGAGGAGAAGTAGACACCAGTAAGGCTCAGAAGGCTGCCACATGTGATGCAGATACTTAGTGCAAAACACTAGGGCAGGAATCCAACCTAGTGTAAAGTGTGTGGAGTGTTCTGGGAGCAGCATGTGTAGAATAATTGAGGTAAACAGAGATTAGGCTGCCTGCAGTTTGATAATACTGGACAATGAGAAGAGTTATTAAAGGACTTTTCAGCCTAGAGCATGAGGCTGACATTGCTGGAAGAGGCTTTTTGATGCATCATGGCTTACTAGGCGGATCACTTGTAGAAGAGAACAACGATTTTTTTTGTATGGGAAAAATTAGAAGTTGTGAACAATTTGTGTATCTGGATGTGTTAGTCAATCCATATATACTACGAGTCTGTGCACTGAAACACCAAGGATTATTAAAGAAAATAATATTCCACGTACCATATTAGGCAAGTGAGATAAATGGTACAAGTAGTAGGGTATATAAAAGTAGCATTTGATGAATTACAGTAGATATTTAAGGTTTAACGATGAATTAATGAATTTTTCAGCAATGCTATCATTCAAACAAAATTTTGTAATCTTAATCCCTGCTCTTAGCTGATGAAGTATTTTTTCTGGTTTTCATACTTCTTAGAGAGATCAGCTTTCTTGTATTCTTGTTTAAATTTTTCAAAATTCATGAAGGGATTGTTAATACATCATAATTTTAGTGCTATCTGCACTCAGTAACTGGTGTTTATGAAAACATTGTTAATAATGTCTGCTTTTGGAGAGTGTACTAATGCTGAGGCCAGATTCTTTCATAAAATTCCAACCGAGGTCTCTTTAAAATGTGCATAATGTGAGAAAGGAGGACAGAATCAAGATCTAGAGATACTCTTGAAACCAGTTGAGAACAAGATAGTTATGCAGTGGCTTGGAAGAATCAACACAGAATGGCTTGAAACATGGGCTGAATAATGGTGAGGTAGTCTTTAGCAGCTTCCCTGTTGACCTAGAAAAAACAGTCCTTAAGGACCACGTTTTTAACATATCTTTGATGCAAGAATGTTACACCAAAAAAAAGGCAGTTGAAAGCTGAAGCTGTGCATCACATTTCTTCACTTAAATGACTCAGCAATGCAAGAGAGCTTACATAGTAAAAATACATAATTTCCTATTCAAAACCAGGTTTTCTGAAAGGCACAGCTGTTGGAATAGTTATGGGGCCCAAAAATAGGGATCATGCTAAGTTTTATCTAATGCAACCCACCCTTGCTGTATTCACAACAGCTTGCTGAAGACCTAAAAAACTTTCACATCCTGCAAGGAACCATGAAACATTTCTGTATAACTATATGTTTGTTGATAAGTTCAGGTCTGTCATCATGCATTCAGAATAGTGCATACCATCTAAATATTTTAAGATCTCAAACCATAACTGGAGTCTTACTAATTTCAATCTCATTAGATAAAAATTCTTTTAGTTTGTTTGTTTTGAACATGTACCTCTTTTCTGTTCCTCATTTAATTTAAAACTTGATGACTCCTTGTGTTTTAGTACTTAATAACATTGCTGATGATGTTATTTTTAGTTTTACTATTAACGTTTCCTGTCTTGTGATACTTTTTAACTCAGATTTTGAGGTGGAATTTAAGTGCTTTAAAAAATATCTATGGAACAAGACTTCCTTAGAGCCATATACTCAGACAGTATTGAATAAGCCTAGAGGGTAAAAATCAAGCAACAAATCTATTTTCAAGGTTTTAAAATACTCTTTTTTTAGAGCTCTTTTTTTTTATTCTCATCAATATTCATCTCTGCAGCCTGAAAATGCAACAGGCATTTAGTGGCTGAAAAGAAAGACTGTCTTTTTTTACTCATAATTGCTGGTTTCCTAAAGAGTGATGAATTTCAAACACCAGCAGCCTGTTTAGGAACCAAGTTCTAGAGCTTGAAGTAGTTTTAAATAGGAAAAAACCCCACATATCTGTCCAAATATAGATGAATTAATGATTGTAGTTTCTTATGCAGTGTTTAACCAGTATAAAAAGGTATGTTTACCCAGATTTCTCAAAATATTTTTCCCTAATGATTCCGTATTTGAGGAGAACATTTCATAAGAGGGTTAACTGGTACGTTGGTAAAAGATAGGCAGAGTTGAAATCTTTCTGTTAGATTTCTGCTTTTCAAAATACCTTTTATTTTTGTTGGATTAGAGCTAGTAGCCCAAATTTTCATCTTGCACTAATGTAATTTAAGTTATTCAAGTTTCACATTAATATTAACTAGAGCACTTTATGTCTTATTATTATTAGATAAGGTTAAGACACTCCAGCAGAAATATAATTTGTAAAGTTAATTCTTTAAATGGAAATATTTTATACATGACATCAGTCTTAGAGCAAATTTCGTAGCATAGTTTGATATTGCATTTAAGATTTTTTTGTGTGAAGAGAATGAAATCAATAAATGTTTGGAGAAGGATTTTATATGTTTTATTAAAAGGAATTTCAGATGTCAAAAAGTAGAGACAATGTCTAAAAAGATACTGAAGTTGCAAGCACAAGGACTTGAGAAAAAAATTAATACTGAGAAAAGAACTGTGTGCAGGATATGCTTAATTGGCTAAGAAAATAATAGCAGTCATGACATAACGTTTTAGCCACACTTAAGTGACATAGGAAACCTAAGGAGCATTGTCAAGTTATTTCGGCATCCAAAACCTATGTGCAAGTGACTTCTCAATGGGTTCCTCAAAAGCTAAAATATTTTTGGAAATGAGAATTATCCTAGCTTATCTGAGACCTTGGATAAGAAAAAGGATTGTTTTTGTGTGGGATGCTCAGTGTATGGCTTCTTCTCCCAGCGCATAATGGGAACACATTCTCTCATTTGACAGATGGAAGAAAGATGTTAGCTGAAAGCAGCTTTCTCCTGGCTTCAGAGCTATTCTTAAAGTATGCAGCTTGTTCCTTCCTGCGTGGAGAGGTCTTAGCACAAAGCAAGTTTGGGAATATTGTAGCAAGGGTGTGCAGGCAGCCAGACGCTTTCCTGGGTGCTTTGCAGAACCAGATAAGTAGGATATGAGCAGGCTATGAGCACATGCTCTCTGTGAGTAGTGTTATATGAGCAGTAAAGCTGTGCTTCCAAAAAGTGCTGGATCTATTACTCATATGTAACACTCTCTTGTGCAAGCACAGTAAGTCTGGCATTTAGGAAAACAGAACTACTGTGCATGTGCACATTAACTATGCTGTGTACGTAACAGAGAAAGACCACATCATATGTTTGCTATTGCTATATTGCTATTGGCTTAGACATCCCAGAGCTTAGCAAGCTGATTTGAATCCTGGTGTTTAATTCTCTCCCAGTCAGCACAGATAATAGGTAGATCATTCCAACTGCCATTCCTAAGGATAGTGTCCAAACTAGGAGATGCTGCGAAGTGGGTATCATAACATTTATAACCCTTTCTGGCTATGACTCCTTGGTTCTGGTCTGCTGGAAGTGAAGATGAAAAACAGAATTCAAAGGAAGTGCTTTCTACCCTGCTGGTTTTCCTCCTTCTAATGCCTCTGGGAATTACTTTCCTGATTTGGAAGGAGGTCACTCACCTGCTCATTGCACTGCTTCTAAGACCTTTAACCACAAAGAGAAAAAAGTGTTAGAATCCAGCATAACACATGAACTTTTCAACTCTGAAACACAAAGGCATAGTCTACATTATTTAAGTAATGCAGCACAATGGATGCATCCATGCTATAGTTCAGGGTGTTTATTTCAGACTAGCTTTAGACTGGTTCCATAGACCAAATGTCCCCTCCATGCATGTTCTTCAAAACTGTCTGATGAAAGCACTCTCACAAACATTTTCCTTCTTAACTGAGCCTATCAGTGAGCCACTCTAGACATGACATGCTGTCATTTATCTGTACCATGTAGATAATAGTAGCATGTCACTGGTCCTGTCACCATTGCCCATACAGTAAGTCTTATTTCTCTTCCTGCTTCTTTTATACTTTCTTTTTTGTGGTTGAATCCACAATGCCTACTGCCTGTTCTGAGAATAGTCAGCAGGCAAGGCTATAACAGGGGAAGCACTATTCTCTTTCTATGGCAACTAGACTAGGATGACAACCTGAATAACCTGACTTACACTTTCTGCACGTCCTTTTGTCTGAGAAAGAAGACACGGACAATTGCTTACTGGGAGTATTTGCTGGTGTAGCTGTTCTGCCCCAGGCCTTCACCCTTCATGTGTTCATGAGCTCCATAAGGGCCACTGATGGGATCCACATTCCTGCCTGCAA